CAAAGGCCTTGAGTTATTATGAAAAGGCACTGAAACTTCAGTTGAACACACTAGGCTCGAACCATCCATCTGTGGCTACGACATACAACAATTTTGGACTGGTTTACTATCAGATGGGTGACTACTCAAAGGCCTTGAGTTATTATGAAAAGGCACTGGAACTTCAGTTGAAAACACTAGGCCCGAACCATCCATCTGTGGCTACGACTTACAACAGTCTTGGACTGGTTTACAGTAACATGGGTGAGTACTCAAAGGCCTTGAGTTATTATGAAAAGACAGTGGAACTTCAGTTGAAAACACTAGGCCCGAACCATCCATCTGTGGCTACGACATACAACAATGTTGGACTGGTTTACAGTAACATGGGTGACTACTCAAAGGCCTTGAGTTATTATGAAAAGGCACTGGAAATGAGGTTGAAAACACTGGGCCCGAACCATCCAGATGTGGCTACGACATACAACAATGTTGGACTGGTTTACAGTAACATGGGTGACTACTCAAAGACCTTGAGTTATTTTGAAAAGGCTCTTGGAGTTATGCGAAAATCTCTCCCGACTACTCATCCTTCTATCAATGTGTGTGAAAGGGCAGCAGCTGAGATGGCTAGAAAACTGATGAGACATTCATAACTTCACAAAAGCATTTGATTATTGTGAGGTGATGTCGTTAAAACGAAGAACACTTCAGGTGAACAGGAATGTCTTGATATGTTTGAACTACTGGATGCATGCAGCTGTATCATCCGTTTCAGAATGCTAAGAAAGTAAAAGTAGAGTTTATTCAGTTTATAGTTTAAGAAGAAAGAACGCATGGGTGGTGTACTGGGTAGTAGAAGAGATGGTTTTCAGAAACAATATAGTTTCCACTAAATGATTGTGACTATGGTTGACTTGCTATCTATTGAGGAATTATATGCTTACGGATTTTCTAATGTGAATAATATTTAAAGTCTGGACCTCTATAGCCGACGCGGGTACAATCGATCCCTAGGAATTTAATAATGAAAGCATTTAGTGGCATTCTTGGCGAATGGGAACTAGATGGATGTCTGTAAAGTAGAGCATCGATCATGGTTACATAGATCGAATAGTATTTCCTCAATGTTTATTCCTCTTAATTATTTAGTTATTTCTGAATATTTCCGTGTATGTATAACCTGCGTGCGTTCCCCCTAATTGCCGAACTCTTAGACCAATTAATTCTTACTGACTGATTTCCAACTAATTTGAAAGCTTCTTGGTCGCTCGATTCGGTGCATTCGAAGTCTAATCTCTCGATGCAAGTCGAATATCACAGCTAGACCCGAAGCATCAGAATCTGTTTTTAATCAATTCAGAATTCCAAAAAAGTCGAAATATTTTCGGTTAGAAAGGTATGAAGAAAATGAAACAACCTGTTTTTCTATAAAGAGTCGACGTTATCTTCCTGTTGTAACGGGGTGAGGTGATATATATTGGTTCTTTTGCCCTACACTCGAAAGACTCGTAATCAGAAGATGTTTAAGAATTTAGTACACTGATTAATAATTCTAAGCATCTGTAATGGAAACCCAAAACTATAAGGTCAAGTAGTTTTTGTCTATTCTTAAATATTCTCTGAGTTTCCAGCCATTGAGAAATACTAATTTCTAGAGTAAAATATTCAACCGCTTTTGCTTGATATGTCAATGATGGGGAGCTTAAGGTATTCGTTATCACGAAGAACAAGAGAGATATGTTTGAAAGCCAAACATAATGAGTAATTTGATTGATTTAGTTGATTTTATAACAAGATTTTCTATGTTATTCATCTGTGCTCAGATACGTTTACAACCATTATATATCGAAGTGAAGAATTATCGATAGATTCTCCTCTCCCTTTATACCTGATCACTCTTGCTTACCCAGGTCGACAAAAACTGTCATTTAATTGTCCATTAACAGCCTGTTAACTGTATGCCAAAAAATGGCCTGTTAATTGTGTAAAAATGGAATGAAAATTGGCATTTAACAGCCATTATAATGACTTTTTTTTACTTTGAAATAACGGTGAAAATACTGCCATACTATAATCAATGTTAGAAAAAATGGCATTTTACGGACACTGTTAAATGGCATTTTTGTCCATTTATTAGACTGCGTTAACTACCAAATAAATATGCATGTTACGTGTCCGTTTTGAGGCAGTCTTTTCTCGATTTCAAAATGGCAAAAAAACGATCATAAATTGTCATTTAACAGCCATTTTATGGTCGCCAAGTCATTCACCGTTTTATTCTGCCGTCATGACTAGTGTAAATGACTCTGATTTATATAATATATATTATAATTTAGAGTTTTTCTCTTCAATTATACGAGTCATAGAAACTTGTCTCGAAGAAGTAGTCTGTAGTTCATGGATCGGTGCCGGTGATTGCACCTCAGGTTTTAGAGGATATTTTTTTGACATTTTCTAACAGTCTAAAATTTGATATTTAAATGGCAAAAGAATGGGACCAGCAGGGTTACTGAGAACAGTTAAATGGGTGTTATTTGGCCGTTTTTTGACATTTAAACAAATGTGAAATAAATGCATTTAAACGTTCCCAGTTATAATGGCAAAAACGGCCTAAAAACTGGGTCCAATGACATTAAAATTCCATTTAAATACATATTAATAGCGTATCAAATGGCATTTAATTGGCAATTAATTGGCAATTAATTACACCATTTTCGACGTCCTGAGTATACAGTGACAACCTCTATTAGTGAACACCTCTGTAAAGTGAACACCTTCTCAGTGAACATGCTCTCAGGTTCGACGGAGCGATTTTTGCTGGAAATGAACCTCTCTAGTGTGAACACCTCTGTATTCTGAACATGAACACTTTTATTCGGTCCCTCCTACTATTATATTGTTCTCTTCTTCTTTTATCGTTAATCTATTGTATACACAGCGTGTATGTTTCCTTTTAATAGTCATTTCTTTTTTATTATCGCAGTGTTAAGATCACTTTATCGTGTTGCCTATTGCAGTCATACAGTGTATTTTTGATTTTGATATTTAAATTTTAAATATTGAATAGTAATAAATCTCAAATAAAATATAACAAAAATTATGTTAAGTACACAGCAATTTCAGTGTGTGAAAGCAGAAAAAAATAAGCTTTTTCGTTTTTGCTACATTTGTTACAAAGTTGAGCCGTTTTTCTCCTAACAGTTTTGAAAGTCAAAAAGTGGATTACCTTTGTCAGAAAATGCACAAAATCTAAGAGATTCGCCTATATAGGTTCAATTAGCATGTGGATCGTGTTAAAAGATCTCAAAATAAATGCACTAAAGTGAGAAATGCACCAAATGGTTGATTATCGTCTCTATATGAGTTTCCTCGGTGTAATATCGCTTTATTGTTGGTGACTTACAGGATGAAGCGAAGATCAGTTCGGTCCTGTTTGACGCACAAAGGATAGCGGCATAGTTCCAAAGCACCTCATTCACAGGATGTTAGATTAGCTCTTGGCTCTAGCAACGAACTGTTCATAGCGTTAGTATTCCTCGAATACACATCCTGTGTTAGTACAAGCGTGATGTTTCATCACATACAGCAAACGTTTCCTTACGGTAAAACCCATAGACGAGCAATACGATATCAATCTATCTCACGTATATTTTGAGATCTAATTCCAGTCGCATGGCGAATCAGAATTGAAAAATATAGGTGGATACCGTTAGATCAGCAGTTGATGATAATCTTGAAGCATTCACTTTCGAATTTGATTTTCCAAAATACCTTCTGACTTAGCCATACTTCAGAAAAACATTTAGTTCAACTTTGTAATAATAGAAAAGGCGAAAGGACTCCGCCACTTTCCACCAGATATACTGTTCTGAAATAACTGTGTACTTGTTACATTATCAAATTATATATTGATAATGAAAGAACCTTTGTCTGTTGATCTCGGACAACTTCAAGGTACAATAACTTTGAAATGTGACTTCATATTTTTTTCACTTGTAGAAGCTGTCCGTTTACAAAAAGAGGTTGAGGAAGCTCAACACATTTCAATGATGCTAAACAACGTCTGCAAGATTTTGAAGCGAATCATGGAAAACGATTTAAGCAATGGTAAGCGCGAATGCTTTTTCCGTTATAACATTTAAAGTATTTTTTCTATTTAGATACGCAAACACGAAAAACCAACCCAGTTACATTAAAAAATTGCAATATTTGTTTTCTCATCTGCTGTAGTTCTTTCTTTGTTAGCTGTCAATTTTTTTATTGATAGATGCCTTAGAACAGATATAAATAAACTGCCAGCAAAGTAAACAAATCCTTTTAACAGAAAAAAAAATGGAACCAAAAGTTAATGCAGGTTACGAGAGCAGCTAACAATAATTTGCGCATTGCAGCACACTTTGCAAATTATTGTGGTTATTATTAATAAGAAGTATTGACAAATAGATATTTACAAAATGGAAAAAAAGACAAGCAGTTAAGATTTGTACACTATGAGATAGTATACAAAACAGATCAGGAAAACTTTGTTCGATGGCTGAAAACTATTAGCAGTAAACAACGAAAAAATCGAAATGGATTTCATAAAAAAACTCAAACATTATCTGACTTCTTCAAGAGAAGAAAAAAGTAAAAATACACACATACATCATCAAAAATGACTTTTATCTGAACAAATTTCAAAAGTTAAAAAGAGAACAAAAAATATTACTAAATTATCAGATCTGACAAAAAATTTAAAAAATGGAATGTATTGACCGTAATGCATATTCAAGGATAAAATGTAGCTGGATCTAATGTGTGCCGAAAGCGCTCAGGTGGCGATCTACATCCAATTAAATGGCCGATAATACCAATTGCAGCAATAATTAAGAATAACACTAAATATTGGTAGAAGAGAGGTGAGTATGACATAATATTATAAAACAGAAAAAGAGAGTGTGCACATACTTGATAATAATAGTAAAACAAAGCCCCAAAATGGAAAGAAACCATTTAATGTAGAATCTGGATCAAATCGACCATATTGATCACGTTCACCAGACATAAAGTCCCCACGAACTAGAGGATAAGAAAAAAACGAAAAGTCACTTTTATGCTGTGTATGAAAGAAATTTCTGTCGTATTCCAAATTTCAGCAGTATTCTGGCACAATCGAAGTATTTCCAACCGCTGATATATAACAATTTCAGTTTGTTCTTGACGGTATTTCTATGGTACTTTTTTTCACAGTAATACAGAGGTTTTTAACTTCTTAATCAGAATCAAAAGATTTTTAGTTTTCTCAAATTATTTAATGAAATTATCGATGTACTTACAAGCAACTATATCATGAATGATAATAAATGTAATACATAGTGGAAAAAACATCTGCAATCGTGAATGGAACATCGCTGGATTTGGTTTCAATTAAACAAAAGAAGAAATAGCATGAAAAAAACCAATAAAACAGATCTTAAAGTAAGCAAAACAAAAACAAATAGATGATGATCAAGTTTAAAAATAGGCGCATAACCCACTAAAAAGCTTTGTGTGCAAAGTTTTGGGCAGTTTATTTATCCATTGAATAATCTAATACTATAAAATAAAATGATATATTCACAGTGTATGATGTGATAATATGGACCAAGAGGACAGAAAGGACAATAAGGATAGGGAGAACAAAGAGAAGAAAGTTAGTAATTAAGCGGTATCTCTAAAACTAAAAGATAAAACTAAAAGACTCCACTTAATACTTTTGTCATGAAGATCTTCAGGCATCGAAAGGTAGCAATGTAGAACAGAATGGTTTTGTCAACACGTTGCTATAGGCTGCATAACAGTTTCTCGCCTTCTGGTATAGAACAAAGCTTGCCAAATATAAAGTCGATTGACGATGAAATATGGCCTATCATATTGAAGTCAGAAAAATAATGTTACTTTTAATAAACTTAGTTAAATAAACTCCTCGCCTCATAGTCGTTTTTATATATGATTACTGAATTCTCTAATGTCTAGAAAACAGCATTATCGACGCAAATGTGGCGCTAATTTGCACAATGAGTGGCATGAAGATGCGTCACATGTTTCAGTTGCAGTTAACGACCATAAACACACGCCGAAGTCACTATTAAACACCCTTCGACAAAAAATCTTAAGGTTGACATATTGTCTTCAAAACTTAGTCTAGTTGCGCTGTTCCCTTGACTTTAGTCTAGAGCCTTACAAAATGGTTATCTGTATGTGTCTCGGATAAGCTAATCACAAGAGAAAGAAAAAGCTAAGCGAACTTTGTGTGTAGTTCTGGCACAGATGTCGCCAGAAATCACGCTGAATTTGTTAACACAAAAAATATTGTCTACAGTTAATAAAACGTACAGAATATAGATAATCTATCATAGCAAACTGATCAGAAATACTTCCATTTCCTTTGGAATCTTCAGATGGCGTCCAGAAAACTATTTAACTTCATATTAGATTGTGCGCTTTTTCTATGGAATCAGAGAACTTCAGAGCATTTCTCACCTATTCTGACTGCGAATGCCGACCGAAGGGAGGTGAGCGTTGTCTTCGATCCAAAGTCATGGAAGGTCGTTCGCAGATATAAGTTCCTAAATTTAAAGAACCGAGCGAGTGTAGACGGAGCGTTACGTAACGCTCCGTCTACACTCGACAACGTACGTTGTCTTTTTGTGGTAGGAAAGAAAACATTAATATTTTTTATTTAATCTGTTTTGTTATGGCTATTCAGATCTGCTCATTATTGTTCTAATCTCCTTCACTTTTTTGGAAAAAATTGTGCAAAAACGGCGCTGGAGAATGCGTTTTCTTTTTGTTCTAACCAAAGATGATATTACACTGAATAGGTGAGTAAGTTTGTTAGCTTTTTTCAGTTCAAAAATTTGACCTCAATGACGAGCATCTTTTGTAAAAACTTCGGAATCTCTGTCACGTTTCCTTTCGGAGATATTTAGAACCTATGTTTGTGACGAAGGTATAAATATGTCTCACCCATCACCCTAGACAAACATTTTTCGTTGTTTCTGGTAAGAGTCTTATCCGAGCCTTATCGGTTTCTTACATAAGAAGTTGCAACCGCACGAAAATGGCAAGAATCTCGTACGAATCCGATAAGAATCAGGTAAGACTTAAATAAGAATGAGCTGTGACTTTGATTATCACTTCCTTGTGAAATTCTTACTTACGAGGAAACATTGCCAAGTGAGGCACTCCGATTCTGTTCAAACCTGTTAATTTATATGTAACCAATGGCGCTGATTACGAATATGATAGCCATTTGTGCCCATAGACCTTTCCTAGCGTTTCTATGGAGCTAGAAATCCCCTGAAACCCTAGCAATGTTTTATCAACATGTTGGAATTGTAGCGTGAAAATTTTGCATCAAAATGAGACGCTTTCGAGCGCTCCACGACCTTTCTTTGCAAAGTTACAGAATTTACAAGAGAAGTCCTAAATGCTTATTGTCAGCTCAGAGATATAGAAAAAAAAAGGAAAATTAATTTAGGGCTTCTCTTGTAAATTCTGTAATTTTGCAAAGAAAGGTCGTGGAGCTGGGAAGCGTCTCACTTTGATGCAAAATTTTCACGCTACAATTCCAACAAGTTTGATAAAACATTGCTAGGGTTTCAGGGGATTTCTAGAAAACTGGTTCTCTATAGAAACGCTAGGAAAGGTCTATGGGCACAAATGGCTATCATATTCGTAATCAGCGCCATTGGTTACATATAAATTAACAGGTTTGAACAGAATCGGAGTGCCTCACTTGGGAATGTTCCCTCGTTAAAGCCACAATCACTGTTTTATTTTGCAGAAGCACATACTATATAAGCATCACTGATTCTTGGAAATTTTTTCAAAGTTTCTTCAAGGTAGGTAAGGGTGGTCGATTTGAAAATGCCTCGCGACCTCTTACACACTCACTAATGAACTATACAGCTAACTAAAGAAGGAACACAAAAACATTGGAATTTATTGCCAGTTCTTGCCCTTTTCTTGTCGAATTCTTACAGGATTCTTAACTGATCCTTATCTGCTTTTTACCAAGTTCTTGTCACTTTCGTGCAGACTTCTTATGTAAGAATTCAATAAGAATCTAATAAGATTCTTACACGAGTCGTAACGGATTCTTATAAGTTTCTTATCAGATTCCCGTCAGATTCTTTTTTAAGAATCGATCGCTAGGGTAAGGTAAGTAAATATGTACAACGGTAAATGTTTAAGTCTACAATTCAACTCAACATAACGGTTGGCTCATAAAGAATGGCAGCCTCAGTATTTTCCGTTCATCTCCTTCAGTTTTGATTGCCGAGACTTGTAGTTCTTTTTAAAAGATTTGCCGTTTCATTCTTTACGAAAAACATATCGAACATTTTCTATATCATAGAAATAAAAGAATATATGTGAAATACTGTGAAGCTTCAGTTTCCATTACTTTCAAACCCCCAAAACAGTTTTTCAGTTCTACTTCTTTGTATTTTGTGATACAGAATAAGAGACGATGCCCGTTTTGTAGCCCCTGAAAAGCTCTATCAATTGGCTATGTTTAAGACTCTTCATAATCGCAACTGGTTGGCAGAGAAGCTTTTGCTTATATCGATTTTATCAAAAATCGCTAAAATTAAGGGTTCACCAGCTCACGTTCACGAACCCCGTTCAAATGAGTGAAAGAACTGTTCAGAAGTTCTTTTCGAGCGACCAGTTCGTTTTGAACGAGCTGAACTGTTCGAACAGTTCTTTTGAGCGAACTGAACCTCGACTTTGGAAGATCTGTAATTTGGCCTAATATATCAAGATCTATCCATAGGGCGTAGTTAAAACTTCTCAAGGTCTATTCCTAGAGACAACCAGGACCTGTCAATGCCTATTCATACAGTATATCTAGGAGTCCTTTAACCTTATCCAGTGGATAAGGTTAAAGGACTTT